ATTGTCAACTATCCCAACTGCTGCACCCCAAAAGCCATCGCTATCTTGACATAAATAAGCACTAAGTCTCCCGAAAACTGAGAAGCAGAAGATGTTAGACGGAGAGCCTTTCATGCCCTACAGTACTCAGTTAGTTGACGATCGAAGGCAATGCGCAGCTGTACTATACCGTTTCAACAACACCGTCGGTGCGGCACCCGAGGTCGTGCAGCGTATGCGTGAGCGCCATTTCAGAACAGCTATAGAGGCAGCTTGGACTCAGCCTCGTTGCGGAGACCGTCTGGTCGGCGGTGAGCTCGGTTGTAGTACACACATTGCTACACCATTCCACTGCGACTACGGCTACAACGTCTCTGTTGGCGACAATGTCATGATTGGATCTAACTCCCAACTACTGGATTCAGCCAGAATAACCATTGGAAGAAACACCAGGATTGGCGCGTGTGTTACCATCACGACTTTGAAAGCACCAACTGATATAAAAGCATTGAAAATGGGCTACGGTCTCGAAGTCGCTAAAGATATCTACATCGGCGAGAACGTCTATATCGGTGATTGCTGCGTCGTAGGAGCGGGAGTGCGAGTTGGTGACGGTGCCATTGTTCGTTCTGGGTCTGTCGTCGTTCATGACATACCACTAGACTACATCGCCTATGGTAATCCAGCCAACACGTCCAAGGCCAGTTAGGTGCTCTATCATTGTTGGAGCAGCTTAAGACAGTATTTAGTGTATTAAGCCTACTACAGCCTCTGTCACCGTCCGTCCCAAGGCCCATAGGATAACGACTGTTCTGGAAACAGTTGCCGCTCTAGCTTGCCTGACTAAGCGCAGAAAGAGACAGGGAACCCGGATCGTTACTAATAGGGGCAAGGCTTTGGCTTATATCCTGTCTTCATAATAGCCATACAATTTTCTTAGTAACAACGTGACTCCTCTACAGACGTGATGTTGAGGAAAAGCCTATATTAGCTTGTCTACCTATTTAAACAATTTAGCATACTCAACATCGCCGTTGCTCGTGATTACCTTATCCACACTAATAGTCTACCACTTTGTATGGCCTCCTCCCACACTTATAACAGCCTGACAGCGCTCGTTCATACTGCTGACATATCGGGCAAAGTCTGACACTTCCAATGCCGCCCATTCTGTCTCCACACACTGCCTCAACTCGGCAAGAGTATGTGGATGCTTCCTAGCTACTCTCTGCTTTAGTAACCGCCATACGTTCTCTATAGGGTTGAGGTCGGGCGAGTTGGCAGGCCAGTACATCTTATCTACACCATTCAGGTTATGGACCTGCTTGGTGAGCTTCGCAGAATGCGGAGAGGCACCGTCTTCCATCAGGATGGCATGCCGCGAACGATTCTCTGGATGTCGAGTCACCCAGTACATGAAACAGTATATCCAGGGAAGCACCTTTTCCCTGTACACTTTCCCTGTAAGCCCACCCCACTCCTTCTCCATCACCACCATTGGTCCTTTGCCAAGCGACGAAATGCTTCCATGGATGGTCCATGAAGCGTGCGTCCTTAACTTCGGCACAAGGCAAGACTGATCGTACTTCTCTCCCGGTCGCCGGGTGACGTAAACTCTTCCAAACCCTGCGGTTGAGAACGAGGACTCGTCGGTCCAAACAACGCGATTCCAATCCTCAGACTTCCAGTTCAGGTGTGCAGTTGCCCACGCTAAACGCGCCTGCTTCTGCGCATGAGTGAGCATAGGCTTCTTGGTGGCCACGCGGCGCCCGTATGCCTCCATGTTGAATGCAGCCATCAGGGCTTTTCGACCTGCCTGCACACCTTCTAGTCGAGCAATCTCCGTGTACGGCATGCGTCGGTGAACAGCATCAAGGGTAGCACGTGCAATCAGGCGCGTGCGAGTCTTGTCCGTGATGGCGGGCTTCCTTCCGGCCGGTTTCTTCGGGGCTTCGACCCCTGATTTGAGTACAGACTGGACAGTGGTGCAAGGTAGTCCCATGTTTGCAGCGATTGCTTCCGCAGACCAGTGCGTCACTGATGAGAGCGTGAAGATGCGGCAGCGCTGGTTGTACGTCAGCCTAGTGCCTGGCTTTCGTGCCCAGTCTCGGTTTCTCTCTGACGGACGTAACGTGCGGAGCTGGCGTGGTCTTCGAATGTTGTTTGGCATGCTTTCTTGTCTTCGTACAAAGGGTTAAGCATCAACGAGCTGGCTATCTTTTATACACATTGAGCCAGTTTTCTCTCACGTCCTATAATATCCTCTCTGATAACCAATCTCTTATGAATACTTTGCTAATGCTGCAGATAGAGCTTAGGTAAGGTTCTGAGAAAAGTCTTCTGTTACTTAGATTGATTACGGCGATGTATTGCAAGAGCTCGTCGTGAATGTGTACATCAATAGTAAGCATTGCACTCTTGGCTCTTCTGAAGATGTGCTATTAGTGCCGGTGCGCGCTTCCGTCATGGGCCATTCACGGTTCCAGAACCTTCTCTAGTCGTGTTGTGGCTGTGTTCGAGGACTGAGTTTTGCCAGCTGTCGACGTTCTGGACTCTTGTTTTTTAGAGTACAAACTTTTACAATGTCAGACGGAAAGACACAGCAGGTCTAGAGGAGATGTTCGCGCCGCGATGGCTCTGTGGGTCCTAAAGCAAGTTCGAGTCATGGACTCGACCACCATCACAACGGGAGCCAAGAGAGATTCACATAAGCTTCGTTGTAGGTTAGATCAGATCGCAAGGAGTTGCTTCATTGTGGATGTTGCGTTACCGTGCCATGACAATAACATAGGCCGAGTTGCAAGCCTCAGTAGCTGCGATGCACAGTTCCTTAGTCTGCCCTAACGCCTGTTTGCTGTCAGAGTGAGCCATGGCTCCTCGCTGGGCACACGTCAGCGACACCTTTTCGTGAGTATTTGTTGCTGTGGAGAGCTGCCCTCGTGGGCTTTGACTACAGTTTCAGTGCATGGTAAGCCCTCCCGTGTCTTGCTCGCCTCCAGCGGCTGAACGGTTTGGCAACATCGCAGCAATCATTCGCCAGCGGCGGTAGGAGACGATGCTGCGTCTCCAGTCGTAGTCGTCGTCGTCGTCGTCGTCATCGCGCGCGCGTAATCCGTGGTGTAATTTTCGTCTCACGCTGGAAAGCACGCGCGTTTGACCAGCTCCACCATCAGCCGTGCGGCGGCGTGCCCCATTGACCCTCCTGTTCTGCGACATACAGTCCCCCCCAGTTGAAGTGCCTAGCGTGGATTTGAGAGAAATGGAGCCAATTGAAAGTGATTGCCAAGGTGACGATTGGGGACGCTATCTCGAAAAGGGGCCACTCCTGACTGTTTTTGGAGTCCTCCGAGGTGCCTCCGGAGCTTGTCAGGGGCCCCTGTAACGCCCAAAGGCCACTGATTTTGCCAAGTTATCAAAAACCAGCTGTTTTAGGCCGTTTTGAAGACCCAGGGCTCACAAAAAAGAGCGTTTTTAGCCATTTTTTAGAGTTGAGATTGCTAGTACAGTACAATTTAATAGTACAATGTAATAAGATAGTAAGAGAGCTCGCTGCCGACGTTCTAGTACTTTGTAGGACCACCTTTTGCAGCAATTACGCTGAGGCAACGGTTGCCCATCTGACCAGTGTGTCTGGTGATCTCGCTGTCGGGCATCTTATTCCATTCGTCTAATATATACGTACGGAGCTCCTCAGCTGTTTGGGGGTGCCGGGCATACACCTGACGTTTTAAATACTGTAAGCCTAGGACCACATCACATGACTGCTCTGCAGGCATGACTAATGCGTCCGACTACTTTCGAGCTCAGATCACATACTTGTACATACACAGAAGAATACACTCATTCAGGTGACCTTATACTACGACCACCCTATGCTTACAAATACAACCAAATAGGCTCAATTGGGTTCAAATCGGGTGAATTAGCAGGGTGGTTATCGCGGTGAATAGACTTTTTGGCGTACAGTTCATGAGTCTCTCGCGATCGGTGGGCTCCAGCCCCATCCTCCATAAAGATAATCGTCTCTTTTGGGATGATAAAGGTCTCCATAAACTCTTTCATCTCTAAAATCTTTGGGACAATATGCTTACGCATTGCTGCCCCGTCAATAGTCCCCTTTTTCTTCCCCTTTTTAGCTTTACCCCAGTCTCTTTCAACAAATACAAGAGGTCCTTTTACTCCGTTAGCAATACAACCCCAAACCATCCATTCACTGTACTTTCTGAATCGGGGGAGCATACAATCGGTGAGGTCACCTTCGTCAATCGTACGGGTAACGTATACGAGGCCCCAGTCCATGGTGAAAGAGCTTTCATCTGACCAAACAAAGCGTTGCCACTGCTCAGGAGTCCAATTTCGACGCTCCTCGGCCCAATTGAGACGATCGCGGAGCTGCTTCTCGCTGTGATATGGCTTTTTACGAGCCCTGTAACGCTTGTAGCCGTGACGGTGAAAGAGATTGTTAAGCGCCACGTCCCCAATATCAATTCCAAGCTCTTTTGCAATGTCTCTCCACGTCTTTCGGCGTTGTACGGCATTAGCAGTGGCATGAGAGATGAGCTGACGCTGGGTCTCCATTGGGATTGTACTGTGGCCACTGTGGCGCTTTGAAGGAGTGATGGGTTGGGCCAGGGCTCGAGAAATCGTCCTTTGCCCGTTGGCATTGCTGTAGCCTAGCTTTGCGGCGATTTGGCGTTGGCTTAAGCCTTCATCCCGCCACAAATGAATCGCGAAACGCTCGTCGCGCGTGAGCTGCTTCCCTGGGGTTCTTGGGGTACCTGGGAAGAGTTTTGGCATGAAGAAATAGCGATAATATGGTGTTTTGGGTGGTGTAGAGGTGGTCAAAGAGATGGATTGTTGCAATCCTGAAGCGTTGGAGTTGCCGAATGTGGTACGTGCGTAGCGCCAAGGCTCAAATCCACGCTAGGCACTTCAACTGGGGGGACTGTACAACCGGACTCACTCCTGGTGTGGATGTTGTCTGATGAAGAGGCGACCGGGCAGGTCGCGGTAGCAGTGCTTAATGTGTCAATATTACAATCAGAAGGAATTATGACACACTGTGATGTCTGGTCGTCCGAAATGCGGGTATTGCAAGGCTCGATGTGCAGATGCGCCTTTCAAAATTGAGGCGTTATCGTCGTGTGCAGACTAGTCTTCGGTGCAGAGTTGGAGGTAGTGTTGGAGGTATAGTCGGTAGGGAAAGAGGATCAGGTAGACGGCTCGAAGAAGCTTAGACCACTCGCTGAAAGTGCCTGGACCTTCGGCAAGATAACCGCAGTACGAGAGGTAAAGGTGAAGGCCAAGACATGAGCTACCGTTGCGTAAGTAGCCTACCCGTTGGATCCATAATTCCAAAAGCCTAAAGGGTACTCTATTACTATACAGACAACATCAGACATAGCCAGGCTCTCGATGCCAACTATATAGTCCTTGAAAGCAATATAAACCATACGCGTATGCCGATAGAGACCAGTATCATTAGACCGTCTGAATCTCTGAAAAACATCAGCAACCTCCGGGCTACCTTTTGAGATCGGGACAAATCTTCATGAACAAATGAATAAAACTTAGGCAGATTGTCAAATGTAGCAAATTTGCACCAAGATAACCAGTCCAATGACAAACATAACTCTTGTTGTTCGGAACAAGGATCGCGGTGCCTCCAGACGTGGTGTTAAGCCATCCGCGACCCAGGCGCGGAACGTCTTTTGCACTTTTCGCAAATCGGCGACGAGGAGCTTAGCTTCGTTCTTAAGAATCATGAGGTCGTGATTTGCAACAAGATCCGGATCCAAACGTGAGAGAGTATCTGATAGCGCTTCACGCATATTTTCGAGTATCAGGGCCCATGTCGCATCGGTATTTAGCCCATATACAATGCGGTAGACGATTAACCCCCAGAGTGCGCCTAAGTTTATGCGGGGATGATCAAAGCTTGCTTTGGTAGAATAGTAGGGCCTACGATAGTCTGAAACAAGGTTCATTGGGCTCCTTCTCTCTTCCTTCGGCCCGGTGCGCGTACCTGTATATGTGGAAAATAGCGCTCAGCCTGCTGGAGAGGTCTCGAGCTATCGTACCTTAATTACATACCCGAACGGTTCAAGTAGTTTCCTTGTCTTGTCCATTCCATAGTACTCCGTGGTGCGACTTAATTGATTTAAGACCTCAAGAACAATATCTGCATTCCCTAAAACCTTGATTGTCTCCTCTAGCGTCCCTAGCGTGACGTAGTCAGGATGCGTGGGGCGGTAGATCCTATCGCTAGGTTCAATGTTTTCTTGGGATGCCACGTAGGATAGAATCCGGGAACAGTTCACCTCGGCAGCAACGTACTGACAGATTTCGCACCTACACTGCGACCAATGCTTTGAAAAGACACCACACCATTTCAGATCCAGGTTCAAGCCAGACTTGACTGACCGCAAGCGAACCTTCCAAGCACCGGAACTTTGCAGCCACGGATTGGTAAAAGCTGAAATCAGAACGAACTGTATTTCTGTTTCCTCCCTTTCGATTTCAGCAAGACCATCTTCTCTCTCCTCGAAGATATTATCGTGCCAGGTTGGTTTGGCTATTGAGCGGCCACTTCTCTTATTACTACTCCAAGCACGGCCTAGCAATGTCGGGGGAGGGTTCCAGATTTTCTTGGCTTCCTCCACAGTCATTTCAGTGGTGAGTTGCTGGAATAAAGAAGAGATTAACCCTAACGCTGTATTAAGAACGTGAAGGCGATGCAATACCTCCAAACGGTTCCTAATCCAAGCTTCTCGGCCTAGAGTTACAAGGAAATCCTCGTAGCCCCAGTCGTCTTCTGAGGGGGTAGTGTACAGATTTCGATCGCGATGTCTGTGGCCCGATTAGCATTATCGAGCAGACTCGACAGTGAGCTTACATGTGCATAGTGAGGACAGAGAGATTATCTTGTGGACCATCCAGGAGGTGGTCCAGCACTGTCAGATGAAGTAAGCGATACTGCATCGTGGACGGTATCACCTATGTATCACCTAGGTATCACCGACGTATCAGGTTTATGTTCAAAAAGGAGAGAGAACAGACCAACGAAAAACAACAATGATCAAGACATAATCCATCATCGCAATCATAAACTTCTCCTGAGCTCATTTTCAGCATTTTCATCTGACAAGCACAGAACATTTAGACCATCGAGAACACGTCGTTTGGGCGGCCTTGAGCAGGTAGCTATCATGGCAGCTAGTGGCTCCGCCCAGACCAAGGTGGAACCCGTTAGGATCGTCTTTGAACCGGATGCTGGAGACGTGGTCAATGATATCCGCATCATTCTGCCCAAAAGAGTCGTAAAGCTGAGTTGCTGAAGCAAGAGGATTGACAAAAGGCATCTGATTGTGCGGATGAACCATCCGGCCGCTGAAGCTCATGAGATACCGCGCAGAAGTCCTTCGTTCTATCTGATCAACATTGGGTGGCACGGGAGGGTAGACTAGTCCAAACGTATTGTCTGCATCTCGCCGAAAGAGAAGATCGCCACAAAAGTCCTGGCAGTTGTTGGAAACCCGGTTGTAGCTGAGTTTTACTCGTTCCACTAATCCGAAAGCGAAAAAGTAGAGGACCAAGTTAACTTCTTCCCCGTAAACCAAACTAACGACATCCGTAAACTCTTTCGCGCAGGATTTCAATTTCGCTCTGTACTCTGATTGATTAAGCCTTCGGTTGTTTTTTGTCGAAGCCCAGCTTTTAGCACATTCGAGGAACATATTCACTAGGTGCTCCTCATCTGTCAAGAATCGTTCACAATAGCCGGTGAACATACCTCCGGAGAGCTGTTTCAGGCAGCTGGCGAACTGTCGGTTTCTAACGGGAACCTTTGACTCGTAGAGTCGTCTTGCAGAAGAGAAGGAGAGATGTCGCTGAGCCGGGACCTCCTGATGGTCGACGGAAATGTAAGTCTGTGGCTCGAAGAGGAACTCTTGCAGGTCTTTGGATGAATTGGCAGTAAAGTTTGGAATAGGGCGTCGAGATATGTTGGCGCCGCCAGGCTCTCTTCAATTCGTCAGTGGTATTGTTCTTACTCGGAATTCGACTTAGTCTTTACCGGGTCATTCCATTCTCTAGTAGTAGGGGACCAACCATGATAGCACAGTGAGAGTTACCTGCAGGGAAGATATGTCGGCTTGTTGCCCTTTGGAAAAAGCTTCCGGGCGAAGTCAAGGTATCCATCACATTTACACCCAGTCCTGTGAGGAATTTACCATCCAAATGATCCTCCCATGCATCGAGTTCTTGAGCGAACTTATGGGAGTGCTCGTTGCCCATTTTGGAGAAATTTCTCGCGGCCTTGAGGTGCTCCTTAGGATGGTCCGATGAATGTAAGCAAGGCGGACACAATCGGAAAGGGGTAGGAACCTGCGCTAGGCTTGCGTCGTAGTTGTGCATCCGTCCAACCCAAAAAATGCCGTTCGGTTCGTTTGGTTCTGGTTCCCGTACTTTGTACATGTTTCTTGGGATAGGGTTATCTGTACAGCCAGATCGACATACATAAGAGTGAAAGGACCTGATGCAGCGTCGGCATTGGGAGCATTGCCTAGCCCGTAACAACATCTGATTATCCTCATGTTCAACCTGAGGCATTTGGCCCCAAGAACGGAAAACAGGAGGACGGTGCTCACGAACATAGTCGATATCTAGCAAGCCGAGTGCTTGTAGAAGACTGCGCGCCCGTTTCTGATCCAGTGTTTGACTCTGTAGCGAAGCTTTCAACCCGTGCAGCGCTTGAGACTTAACAAACTCCGCCTCTCTTTCTCCCATGGGATTCCATAAGTCGACAAGCGAGTTAAGCTTATTACTCTCGAAGTCCCCAGAGCGAAAATTTTCCCCCAAGGCTTGGCTTGCTTGGAAATTTTGGAAATCTGAGAGGGCAATAATTGCCGCCGCTACCTCTTCTTCGACAGCTTCCCAGTACATCTTCCTCATTTCGTCAAGTAAAGTGACAACGCCTGCATGATTCCCTTCTGCTATTTTGATCTCTGTCCAGCGACTGGAACGGTCCTCGAGCCGGCTTGGGTCCCAAAGAATGCCGGAGAAATCAGCACTCATACCTGGAATGTAATGTGAACGGCTTGGTTGAGTCTTTTAGTGCAGTAGCTGATGCGATTGTTCCAAAAATGAAAGGAAGGTTGTCGTTGACGCGAAGTGGGGATGTCAGCTGAGAATTGTGGCGTTTCTTGGCGTTTTGGCACATGTTCATCTTTGAGACTCGTCTGAGCGGCCTTCCTTCTCCTAGCATCTGATCCCACATCACTTCCAAACATCTAAATGTCGGAGCACTTCTAATCGAGTGAGGATGGAACAGAAGAAATCAAAACCAGGGCTCTTAAGCAGGGTTTTTACCCGCAAGGGAGCAACCGTTCTCTCCGCCGGCGGTCAGGTCCCCGCGGCAAGCGTTGGTGGCAGCGCAGCGAGTGGGGCTTTTTCAGGCAGCAACAATTCTGCCGCTACATCCGAGAATCTGAAAAAGACCTCTGTTGAATTTAATGATTACCTGAAGGAGGTCGATACAGCGGGTCAGTAACCGCTTAACAAAATCGAAGGAATGTTTTATCGACCACCATGCTGATGAATTCAGATTTGGAAAACCACTCGCACAGTGTACTAAAGATGACGAGATGGCTGGAGAAGCAACAAGCGTATAGCAACTCTGGATTCCAACCAAATGGCCTCCGCGATTTCACCATGTAGGGGACCGAGTCTTCCAGGGCGTGGAATTGCAATCTCGTACTTGACTAACTCGTCCAGGAATCCAACTGAATCCCTACTGGTCGACCTAGCTGCATTTTGTGCCTGTTCACTATCGTCAAGTCCACCTAAGTCAAATCCGAAAGCATTCAAAATCGTTGAGACAAGGCGAATCGAAGCTCAAGCATTTGGGAGCTCCGTCAAGCGGACGGAAGTCCGAACGTGCAAACCTCTCAACGATTCGGCCGGCCATATAGATATGATTGTTGTTGCAATCAGGGGATCCGCTTCTATTCACGATTGGATGGTCAATTTTAATCATGGCACGGAGGCGAATACTCCAGTTGAAGACGATTTTCTAGTAATACGACCCCTCGCGGATGAAGAGCTTTTCCAAGTTAACCTGACACAGGGCCTCAGTACCGACGGTAGAACATATCATGCACACTTTGGTTTCTTAGAAGCATCAAAAAAGATGCTGCCACTTGTTGCTACATGCATTTCCGAAACTCTCCATGCATATAGTGATACTCAAGGATCTGCAGGACCTCGATTGCTTTTCTCAGGCCATTCCGCGGGCGGTGCTGTTGCAGCAATGCTCTACACGCATATCATGAAGGAGACGACTCCTTCTTCCAGAGATCCATTGATCTGTCTCAAAGAGCGTACGATCTTCCAATGAATTTGAGCCTCTCAAGTAGCTTACGTGCCAACAGGATTCAGTTCGATCCACTGTATAACGTTCGGAGCACCACCGATTACAACATCCCCCATCACTCCTCTAGTGGCCCGCGACGATTCAATATTCTTCTCTTTTATCAATGAGGGGGACCCAATTCCGCGTGCTGATAGCCCGTATATCGATTCACTGCTGCGCATCAACGCAGAAAAGATGCCAACAAAGGGGATCGAGTGGAAATTACCTGCCAGAAAACTCTTCAATGCCGGCACTGCTATACTAATCCCAAAACAAGGCCGCCGGTATGTAGGGTTGAAGCTACCTAATGATGAAGGCGAGGGAAGTCTTCAAGACACAATTATGGGAAGCCCTAATAACCACAGGATGCGGTATTATCTAGAGGAACTTCACGCTTCAAATATCTAACATAACCGCCTACTTTAACTTAGACACATTACAGAAAATAGCTAAGTAGTACTGTAGTGGTGAAATCAGGGTATCTGAAGGCCCGAACGGCCTTCGGATCGGAAGGCCGGCTAGAGATAGAAAACCAGTCTGAAGGAGGATCGGACGAGACACAATCTACACTACATACTTAATACAATCCTTTGCATCGAGCACACGTTCCAATGCAGGCCCACTAAATACTTCACTACAGTACGCTACCGCCGGTCGAACCGCATTAGTTGTTTAACGCCTGTATGTTTTCAACCTTAACTTAAATAGAAGTGATACTAAAGAATAGAAGAAGAAACGCACATAGTATTATAACTAAGTTACCTAACCAATATGATGCGACGGGGCAGCCCTAGTATATGATGCTTTGCGAGTTGGTTCTCAGACAAGATAGGTTTAGCGCGATTTGACCTCGCGGATCGCAATATAGTCTATCTTATTTTGGTATAGTGCTGTACGTCGGGGCGCGTCCTATTAAACCCCTTATTCTCAACGTTTGTCGCTTTACTTCTATTACCCCACCTTTAGGTTATTATGGCTACAGCCTGGATCATAGAAACCCCAAAGTCTTTTACGATTCCTGTTGTGTGTATAGAATTAAAATATACAGTGACGCGTCAAAAGCTTCGCCCACGCTAGCGTAATAATTTTCCCCACCACACTTACAACTCAACTTCAACCCACCACAACTATGTCTACACCGCGTATTTTTAGACGTGAGCTATCGCAAAATGTGCGCCGTGGCCCAAATATGAGTCCTGCCGAGCGCAATATTGCCATTGGTATGCTGAATGCTGGTTGTACAGCCAGTGAGGTGGCGAACGCGTGTGGTCGCGCGGAATCGACCATACGACGCCTCCGCGCAAAAGCAACCACAACGGGCACAACACAAGACAAACCTCGCAGCGGGCGTCCACAAATAATGTCGAGGCATGCGCGCAAGCTGGTGTATCGCGCTGTCAGAAAAAATCCCAAAATAACCTACGCAGAACTCGCAGAAATCGCTCAAGTCCACCTACCCGATGGCACCCCATCGAAGCCACCTAGCCGCTCTACACTCTATCGGGTTTTAAAAATGACTGGTTTACTACACGTACGCTGCAAAAAGCGTCCAAAGCTTACCCCTCAACGTGCGCGCACACGCTTGTTGTTCGCTCGTGAGTATCGCGGCTACCCGTGGCATCGCCGCATACTTAAATTCTCTGACGAGTGCTCTATTCAGAAGGGCTCAGGCCACACAACTGAGTGGTGCTTTCGCTACGACGATGAGAAATGGAAGACAAGGATGCTTACAGAGGTGTCGACTGCGCGCAAGCCCGCGCAAATGGTGTGGGCGGCTATATGGCTCGATGAACGCGGGCAACCTCGACGGAGTGATCTCATCGTAATGCAGCGAGATCTCGATGCTCCCCACAGTGGGTACAGCGCCCAAAGCTACATACAAGCTTTGCAGCAAGGTCTTCTGCCTCATTAGAGATATTCTCAGCTATTTATGCATGACAACGCGAGCATACACACCGCGCGCGCGGTGGCAAGCTTCATGGAAACTCACCACATTCATGCGATCGGATGGCCACCATACTCACCAGACCTCAACCCAATTGAGCACCTCTGGTGGCATCTTAAGAAGCTTGTATTCACTCATTATCCGCAGTACAACAACATTACAAGGGCAGAAGAGGAGTGGGATGGGTTCTGTAACGCGCTGAAAAAGTGCTGGCGGGCCATCCCCGGCAGCTTAATCCGCGCCCTCATCATGTCTATGCCACGCCGCATTAAAGCTTGTATTAAAGCTAGAGGTTGGCAAACGAAGTATTAGCTATTAATAATGAAATCCCGCGCTTCAAACATCTAAAACTATGCAATTTTGGTAGAGTTATCACTAAAAAGAGCATTTGCAAAAGTGTGGTGTTGCGGCCGATCGGCCCTTGGCGAGCGAAACTTTTGACCTAGTACAGTGTCCGTGCACCCAACGCCCGGAGTCACTGAACGCCCGGCACGCAACATCTACACAGTATTTCAACGCGTAACAACTCAACAACCATGCCAGGCCTGCAAGATGCGCTTACAGAGATTCGTAATTTAGACCCAGGCGATAAACTTGTCTATACAAATATTGCTCAAAAACACGGTGTTTCGCGCACAACGTTGTCCCGCGCGCACCGCGGTGTGCAGGTCCCTCAGGGCGTCGCTGACCCAAACCAACGAAAGCTCACCCCACAACAAGAAGCAGACCTTGTGCAGTATATAGAAACACTGTCAGCGCGTCACTTGCCACCTACGAGAGCTATGGTACAAAATTTCGCGTCTAAAGTAGCCCAGGATCCTTGCTCTGATAGCTGGGTTACACGCTTCCTGCACCGTCACCGCGACCGACTCACCTGCCACTAGGCGACGGGTATGGACTCCAATCGCCATAACGCTGAGTCTGGATATAAGTATAAGCTTTACTTTGACCTACTGCAGCAGAAGATCACTAAGTATGACGTTGAGCTAGAGAATACGTACAATATGGATGAGAAGGGCTTCGCAATTGGGGTACTTGGAAGGTCGAAGCGCATCTTCAGTAGGCGTCAATATGAGAAGAAGGAGGTTAGGCAGGCTCGTCAAGATGGCTCACGTGAGTGGGTGAGCTTGTTGGCTACAATCTGCGCAGATGGTACTGCTCTGCCTCCTGGCATTATATTCGCATCAAAAAACTCCACAATCTAGAGCCATTGGGTAGCCGATATTGAGGCAGGAACACACCTAATTCACGTGGCTTCTTCGCCTACTAGCTGGACAAATAATGATATTGGATTAGCTTGGCTTGAACAGGTATTTAACCGCTATACAAAGCCAAAGGCGCGCAGAAGTTACAGGCTTTTAATAGTAGATGGCCACGGGAGTCACCTAACGCAGGACTTCATTGACTACTGCAATCAAAATCGAATTATACTCGCTGTGTTGCCACCTCATAGTACACAGACGCTGCAGCCGTTGGACGTAGTCTGCTTTAAGCCACTCTCCTCTGCCTACGCCTCCGAGCTCGATGACTACCTCTAGAAGTCTTAAGGCCTATCGCCATTGACGAAAGGTGACTTCTTCCACCTATTCTGGCCTGCCTAGGTGCACACATTTGAGGAAGAGCTTATACAAAACGCCTTTACTGCTACAGGGATAAGCCTGATGAACCCTAACGTTATACTGGATAGATTCCGCCACGCAACACCTAGCGACTTAGGCTTAGTTTCCTCTAGTTCTACAGCCTATTCTACAGAGGATTAGCTTAGAGCTTGCACTACACTGCATGCAGAGGTGAAGGATCCTCGCAGTGCAGGTGCACGGAAGCTTGGCCAAACTATCTACCACCTATCGACACAGGTAGAGCTCCTTTACAACGAACTAGAAGGCTTGCGGCAGAAGCTATACCTAAAACAGAAGCGTTAGAAGCAACCTAGCAGGCAATTAGACTTGCAACAGCACTAGGAGTATTACGGCGGGGCGATGGTGTGGTCTCCTCGAGCTATTTAAGAGGCGCGCGTCCGCATGGCAGTTACTAAGTAAGAGAAGGAGGAAGAAGAGCTAAGAAAGGCAGAGATAAAGGAGTTAGCAGCTGCTAATAAGCTATACAAGGAGAAGATTGAGGAAGAGAAGCGTCAAAAGCGGGCGAGGGAGAAGGAAGAGCGTGCAAAGGTTAAGGCAGAGGAACGCTGAGCAATAGACGCGCGGAAGGCTGCTAGAGCCGCTGCTAAACAGGCTCGCGACTCTGCAAAAGGTATACAACAGTCCTAAAGAGGCAAATCTACAACCTTAAAAGCTTCTGTAGTCAAACTAAAGCCTGCGCGTCGTGCTGTAGGTGCTCGTAGTCGCCCGAAGCCTGCGACGC